TTTGAATCATCACTCAGCCACAAAGCTCACTGGGTGACCGTGGCAAGTCATCCTCTCTCAGCCTCACAGGGTTTTGGGGAGGAGGAAATGGTGGGGCAGGGGGACCATGTACACCACCTTGAGCTCCTTGGAAGAAAATGTTGTATAAAAATGTAATAACTAAATAATTGTGGGGATGTGGCGGGTTATAAAATGTGGTAAACATGGATGACTCTACACTGTGGACTCTACACCTCCACATTAATGCTTTTGAATTCTAGTTGCTGGAAACCACAGGAGGGGAGAGGGCTCTTGTGTTCAAATCCTGCTTGCCTTTTTCCCACAGCATCTGGTTTGCTGTGGGAATGCATTGACCTGATCTAGCAGCCTCATTTTATGATCATCTGAGATGTGATCCTACACCCATTAGAAGAGTAAAGTCCACTCCAAGAAAACACACTTAGGAATGTTAATCCTCTCAAGCCCCCCACCCTGCTTCAATTTCAACTCATTTCAGTCCATTTCCCCACCCATTTTTAAAAAAACTTTTAAACAAGTCAGAGCTTATAATAATAAAGGCGCTCTTATGAGCCCTAAGTAAATTGACCATATACACAAAGCTCCACTCCACCCCCAGGACATTACCACAAGGGCATGACACTTTAAAGCAAGGATCTGCCCAGTTTATAGCTCAGGTGAGTGAGGTCAGGCAGGCAGGTGGAAGCGGCAGAACGGGTGGGATGAAATTAGAAGGGGGGGACCCTAATTGTGGAGGTTTTCTAAATTTCTTCCACTTTCCATAAATTCCTTGTTCACTCATCCATTTGCTTGTTGAGACTATATGCTTTGAGCAAGCACCCCATTTCAAAACGGGCACAGGAGAAGCTTCTGCTACATCTACTTTAGTATGACTCACACTGACTGGCAGCACCTCTCCAGGGTTTCCCAACCCTACCTGAAGAGAGTCAGTGGTGGTGTGATGGTTAGAGTGTTGGGCTAGGACTTGGGAAACCAGGGTTCAAAGCCACCACTTGGTCATGAAGCTCACTGGGCAACTTTGGGGGCCAGTCACTGCCTCTCAGCCTAACCTACCTCGCAGGGTTGTTGAGGAGATTAAATGAGGAGGCAAGGAGAACTAGGTATGCCACCTCAAGCTCCTTGGGAGGAAAGGTGGGGTATAAAATCAATAAAGAGGTGCCAAGAATCAAACACTGCTCCTTCTGCACGCACAGCAGGTGCTCTGTCCCTGAACTACCAGTCTGTCCCAAAATAAATTGCCTGGGTAAATAAAATTGTATGTGTGTGGTACACATGCAGTACCAAAAAGGTTGGCATCACATAGATCTGATTGTTCTTTAAAATGTCTTGTCATGTGCCTGGTTATACACACAGCCAACAGTAGCAGAAGTACCTGGTTATCCACCCCCCCAAAAAATTATTTAGAACATTGGTACTCCGCTTTTTAGTCAAAAAGGCTCCCAGAGCGGCTTATATACAATCAAAACAAGACAGTCCCTACCCACAGGCTTACAATCTAAAAATAAACATGACACACAAGGGGAAAAGGTGAGGGAGGGAAGAGGAAAATAAAAATCACAACTCAGGCACCAATTTCTAAACAAGGAGGTGCCAAATGGAGCTGGGCCTCCAGCAAAGCTCTGAGATGGAGAGAATGAACGGCAGCCTTCCATAATAAGGAAGCTATTTAAGTTTTAGAGAAGACCCATCAACAACAAGCAGCAACAAGAAAAGAGGAAGTGTACAGCCTGCTCCCTGCTGCCGCAAGCCCCTTTACCTTTCAGAAACCCATTAAATTGTATGGGATTGCCATGTTCCAGCCCCAGAGGTAGCAAACACGTACGCAGCACAGCAATTACAGACACAACAAGGCTTCTGAGCCTGTTTCTCCAGAGCAATTAAGTCATTATTCACTGTCAGAGCTACATCGGCCCACATAGCCATTATGTTCCCATTGTTATCAAGAGGAGGGTCCAAGCCATGTTGATTCCTGTGCTTCCTGCTCTTCCTTTTGCCCCACAGAAGCTATGTAGGAAGCTGTCTTATTCAGAGTCAGGCTGTTTTTGTCTACACTGACTGGCAGCTGTTCTCCAGGGTTTCAGGCAAGGGAGAATCTCAGCCCTACCTGAAGATGCCACTAGGGACTGAACCTGGGACTGTCCACATGGACAGTACATGCTCTTCCCTTTAGGATCCCTTGCTTTACCCATTAAAATGAACAAGCAAGACTGAACCAGAGGCTGAAAGCTGACCTTAGCTGGAGCCTGGCAACATGCCACAGTCTTCTGGGCGGTTGAAGATAACTTCAAGTAAACAAACACCGTATTTTTCAATCCAAAGCCCAGCAAGAGAGACTGCTGAAACCCAAACGCAATTTCCTCTTGTTCCTTATTTACGTTCAGCAGGAACAGGAGAAAGGACAACGGCGCAGTGTATGCATTAAGCGGCCCTGAGGGCAAAGCCCATGCCAAAATACCACCAGCAGCATGCACTTTTACATGTAAACATGTTCAGTTTCACAGCGAATTACAGATGTGTGTTCGGTTCCCGATAAAAAGCTGCTGCACACCAGCTTAGCGGTGGAGAACTTGCCTCAATGCTGCTTCAACAGATGGGCGAGTACACGGAATAAAGTGTGCAGCAACTTATAGCAGGGCAGTGAGCAAATTCAACCATGAGGTTTTGATAGTGGCAGGAGAGATAAAGCCATTTCACACCTGACTCACAGGTTAGCAAGCAATTTTTTAAAATTCTTTTTTTCAAGAGTCAGCCCCATTGTCCAAAGTCCCTCCAAACATTTCCTCTTCACAGCCTGCGACAGCGGGCAACTGAAAAAAGTGAGAAAGGTCTACGCCTTGATTTATACTGTGATGAACAGAAGCAAGACTTTAATACAATTTATATACTGCTTGATTGTGAAAAAAGAAAAAAGCTCAAAGCAGTATACAAAAAAAGAGTTAAACAATAAAATTATCAGGAAAACACAACTACCTATAACTTTAAAAATAAATAAAATTGATGCTAAAACAGATTAAAAAAACACGTCAATATTCTACATATCTAGGCAGGCTTGTTTTAAGGAGGTGCCAAACAGTGAAGATGCCTGCCTGGTGTCAAGAGGCAAGGAGTTCCATATGGGATCTCACAGGAGTTCCAACTGATCATTAAAGAACAGTGTAAATTCCCTTCCAAGGACCTACCCAACTCACATGGATATCCTTTATTTCCAACATACTCACGCCTTCCATATGTTTTGAGACTGCAACTCTTATCAGCCGTAGACAGCAGCCTACATTTCCAGTCTACATTGCCACACACTGAGTTCCAGCTCTCACAGCAAACAATATTTACCACTCTGTGCTGACTCATAGGGCACACACTTCTCTGAGCTGCCACTGCGCATTACTACTAAAAATTGAAAGTAGAGCACGCATTTTCGTTCTCAATCTGCTCCCAAAACGGAAAGTGCAATTTCCTCCGAAGAAGTGTGCAACGAAAGGTGTTGGCACCAACTCAACTTAAGATGCGTTCACACCCGGACTTTATTTCAGCTGTCTTGTCTCCTGTACTTAGGCATTGCCCATAAAACAGGACATTTTGCCACAAGCGTCTGAGGACAAGATGGAGGGCCGTCAACCAAATGCCGGCAAAGGGGAAGTCTCATCCAGGGCACCCAAGGGGAGCAACTTGGCATGGGGAAGGTGTACAATAGGCCTGTGGCACACCCAGCTTTGATTTCCAACAAAGAAGAATGGAATGGCAGGAGGAATGGCAGCAGCCCCTCTCCAGTATCCGCCACCTGAGGCAATTGCCTCAGTCAGTCTAATGATAGTGCCGGCCCTGAGAGTTAATGGGATAGGTAATGAGGACAGTACAGAAGAACATTATGGCGGCAGGAAAGGACATTTACACTGATGCTCTTTGTAGGATCATGTGATTTCATCTTGCATTAATAGCCAGGGTAAGGATTAACCATAACATACCAAATCCTATCCATGGCCTGTTTTTAAGAAGAGTTGGCCAATACTACAGCAAAGCACTGGACAAACCCACAAGAGGAATTGGGGTGTGATTACATTCGTGGTCATCTGTACTTCTACAATCAGTTTTCCCTGCTCTGCCACCCAGAGACAAAACACTCTCAAAACCATCCACAATCCAGCCCCAGTGTTAAGTGACGCCCAACAAATATTCCCAACCAAACCCATTCAAATTCTTAAACAAGAGACTGGATGGCTGTCAAGGATTCCTTAGCTGTGATTCCTGTATTATAGGGATTGAACTAGATTACCCTTGGGGTCCCTTTCAACTCTACAATTCTATGATTATACCAAGGTGAATAGCTCAGTTGGTAGAGGATGATCCTCTTTATCAAGGGCCAAACCCCACATCAGGCAGAAGATTCCTGCATTGCAGGGCGTTGGTCTAGATGACCCTCACAGTCCCTTCCAACTTTACAATTCTATGAGTCTATGGCTTTCCTTCACTACAGGATTTTAAAAAGAGTTTGGATAGTCATCCGTCAGGGATTCTTAAGCTGTGATTCCTGCATTGCAGGGAGTTGCACTAGATCAGAGTTCAAGGAAGCATTCCAGACGGGAAAAAACACTGGAGGAGGGTGCAAGGCAGGGCCAGTGAGGGGTGGGGGCTGGGAAGAGGGGGCAGAGCTTTGGGAGAGTTCCAAGGACCAGACAGCAAGGCCCAGAGAGTCCTGTGCGTGAGACTCTCCATTCCATGCCTCTCCTATAGCTGCAACTCTGCCCCAAAGATTCTCCATGGCCACCTGCTAACCTAAAAAAAATCACCTCTCTAAAGAAGCAACAGCCACCTCCCTTCAACTTGCTGCTGCTCCAATTAACCTCCCTGCCCTACTAACAACCTCCTCATTGCCACTCCCAAAATCCCAGCCCTACAAATTCTGCTCTCTTCCCCAGCTGCCCCCATGGTATCTCCAAAGCAGAAATATTATTATTACCCCCCATTTTTTATCATTTATATCTCACCTGTCCTCCAGGCAGCACATGGCTCTTCCTGCTCCCCATTTTATCCTCACAACGATCCTGTGGGGTAGGTTAGCCTATAGGAGACATCAACCAGCCCCAAGTGACCCAGTGAGCTTTGTGACAGATTGGGGGGTTATGAACCCAGTTCCTAGGAAGGGATATAACTCAGTAGCAGAGCATCTGCTTGCATGCAGAAGGACCTCATGTTCAATGCCCAGTGGCATCTCCAGGTAACACTGAGATTCCCCTCTGCCTGAAAACCTGGAGAGCTGCTGCCAGTCAGTGTCAACAATACTGAGCTAGATAGACAAAAGGGTCTGACTTGGTATAAGGTCACTGAAGATCAGAGGAAGATGCTGTCTACACTGACTGGCAGGCAGGATTCTTTCCCCAGCCCTTCCTGAAAATGCCACCGGAGACTGAACCTGGGACCTTCTGCATGCAAAGCAGGTGTTCTACCACTGAGATACAGCCCTTCCCCTACACTGAACAGGATGCTGGACTAGACTGTTCTCCTCTATCAGTTAAGTGCTTCCTACTGTCATCCCAGGCACAGGCACCCAGCCCTGTGAACTCTGATGCCCCCCCTCCAAAACAAACCTTCCCAGCAAAATACAGTGGTACCTCAGGTTACATATGCTTCAGGTTACATACGCTTCAGGTTACAGACTCCGCTAACCCAGAAATAGTACCTCGGGTTAAGAACTTTGCTTCAGGATGAGAACAGAAATTGTGATCCGGCGGCGCGGCGGCAGAGGGAGGCCCCATTAGCTAAAGTGGTGCTTCAGGTTAAGTACAGTTTCAGGTTAAGAACGGACCTCCGGAACGAATTAAGTACTTAACCCGAGGTACCACTGTACTCAACTGCCTCCCCACCACCCAAAATCAAGACCTCCAATTAAGAAAGCCTCCCCTCTGCTTTCCCCGCTCCATGAACACCCAGACCCTCTTTCAAAACAAGAGCCAGTGCTCAACAACAAACTCACAGTCAGCCCTCTCATGCTCTACCTCCTGAGCTATCTACTTTGCAACCCCATCGATTCCACACTTCCTCTCACCACCAGACAAACTGGATCTCTCTTTAAAAAGAAGTACGGTGTAATGGTTAGAGTCCTGGACTAGAACTACCCGGAGGCCAGGCTTCAAATCCTCCCACTTGGCCATGAGGCTCACTGGGTCAGCATCTCTTAGCCTAAGCTACCTCACAGGGTTGTTGTGATGATAAAATGCGGAGGGGGAGAACTATGTCCAGCACCTTCAAGTGCCTTAGAAGTAAATATGGTATATAAATGTATTGATAATGATGATAATAGTAGTATTAGTAGTAATAACAAGCCTCTCTCACCTCAGGAGTCTCTGCCCCCCAACCAACTTACCTTGCTCTCATTAAAAAGCAGGAGCCCCACCCCCTATATTATTACCCTATAAAGTCCACATTTCATCACCACCACCAGTACTGGGTGTCATTAAGGAAAAGGCTCTCCCCATTAAGCTTCTGCCACTAACAGACCCCCACAAAGGAAGCCACACCCCCTTATTTCTTCCCACACTCCAGCCCCATAGCTGCCCCCCATACAATCTCTCTCTCATAGCCCAACAGGCACCGCCTCCTCCCCCCACCACGCTTTCCGTTGCCCCCCTCCTTCTACCTTCGGGCCAAGGGAGGAGCCCCTGCTTACCTCCGCGGCGCTTCCTCCTTCGCCGAAGGCCGGGCTGCGACTGACTGAGCCAGATGGAGAAGTGGGCGGGCCGCCGGCACGGCTCCGCCCCCTCCGGCCGCCGCCTGGCCTCCCTGGGCAGCGCCGCTCGCTCCCATGGCAACGGGTGGGGAGAGAGGGAGGCGGGGCAGCGTTGGGGTAGAGCGGAAAGCCCCGTCGGGCTTCCGCCTCCGCGCGCCCCCTCTCTCTATGATTACGATGAGAGAAGGCGGCCAAGCAGTGAGCCATAGAGACGAGGGCTGTGGGGGGGCTAGAGGGACCGACAAGCGGACGCCTGCGTGCGCCTCGCCGCTCCCTAGCGGAGCGGAGGCCGAAAGTCGCCACAAAACAAAGACAAACCACGTTTTCGAATGTCGCTTTGGCGGTGGGACGGGATATAAAAAGTCCTTTTCAGATTATTATTTTTAATGGTTGCTAACAATTTTTTATTTTAAATTTTTTAAAAATGCTAACTATCACTTGTCCACCTCTCTTATTTTCCTCTGTAAGTATCCACTAAAAATTAACCAAAGGGTGTTAGTTTTTGAGATCATTCCCCCACCCCACACAAACACTTTTAATGTCATGTATTTACATTTTATGTTAAATAAATATCATGTTTTATTTTAAGAATATGTGTCTATGTTTTGCGCTTTGACATGAATGTTTTAATTTTATTATTCCTTATTGCTAATTTTACTAATTGCAAACTGTAGTGATATAATTTTTCTATGTGAGTTTATGCACATCCTACTATGTGGCTTAAGTTTTGTTACCCTGTTCTGTGCTGCTGCAGCCTAGTGCAACAAAAGTGATTCCAGCTTTAAAAAGCTGTTTGAACATTGTTTTTATACAAACTTAATGCACTATACATGAACATACATTACTATCTAAAGAGGAGGTCATAGGAACCCAACCACACTGATCAATAACAGGATTTCAGAATAGTGTGATGAGTATTGCGGGTGTCTGGAAGATGCCCCTGGTCCCCTACAAAACCTGCAAACCTGTATCTGTGAGGATAGACTGTAGAAGAATGAATCTGATGAACCAGTCAGACTAGTTCATTTCTTATGGTGATTGCCTCAGATGACCATTTAAGTACTGCTATTAACATGGCGCTGTGGGTAAAAGCCTCAGTGCCTAGGGCTTGCCGATCGAAAGGTCGGCGGTTCGAATCCCCGTGGCGGGGTGCGCTCCCGTTGTTCGGTCCCAGCGCCTGCCAACCTAGCAGTTCGAAAGCACCCCCGGGTGCAAGTAGATAAATAGGGACCGCTTACTAGCGGGAAGGTAAACGGTGTTCCGTGTGCGGCTCTGGCTCGCCAGAGCAGCGATGTCACGCTGGCCACGTGACCCGGAAGTGTCTCCGGACAGCACTGGCCCCCGGCCTCTTGAGTGAGATGGGCGCACAACCCTAGAGTCTGTCAAGACTGGCCCGTACGGGCAGGGGTACCTTTATTAACATGGCCAAAGGGTGAACTCTGTTGCCACAGTGAGAAATGGGCGGGCCTTTTCTCACCTGACATGGTTGGAAGCCACTTCATCCTAAGATGGCGAACAATAATGGGGTGAGCAGCGGGGGCGGGACATGGATGGTGGTGCTGGAAGCCAGAGAGACACATGTTCTGTCTTGAGTTCAGTGGCTCAGAAATACATGTGACCCTGAGAACTAATTAATATGTGAAGAAAATAGGGTCACAGAATTGTAGATTTGAAAGGGACTCCAAGGGTCATCTTGTCAAACTCCCTGCAATGCAGTAATCTCAAAATACAGTTCCCCATCCAATTTGATACCATAGCAGACTCTGCTTAGCTTTGCAAATGTGCTACCAGTTTTATCGCTGCACCATCAAGGCTGTGACTTGGGGCTTCCCTGGAAACCTAATGGGGGAAAAAGATATGTTGGGGTATTAATGCTGTGAGCCCCTCCATCCTATGCTCAGGTTATATATTATGTGTAAATAAAACCGTGTATTCTAAAGACACCACAGTCTCCACTGACCTTAATTCTAAGGAAACCAAACTCTGGTCTCTCACCACTCGGAGACTGGGGCCCATGCAACAGTATCACAGCAAAACAAAGAATAAGAACACAGAGGCTCATTTCCTGGAAGTAACAACATTGGCCATCCTATTTCTTTTTTCTTTTTATTCCTCTCAAATCAGAAATTTATCCACATTAAGTTACAGCCAAGTGGAACCATGGCATGGCAACGTAGCCACCTATTGCTATTCCACAAGTAATCAGGAGAATGTCGGTACCTAGAAAAGCAAAGAAGGACATCTCCTGAAGCTGCTCTCTCCACCTATGGGGTCCTCATCCTGCAAGGGAGCCAGCTGTGCTGAAGAGGCAGGGCCCCCTCCGTTAGCATCTTCCATCAGGGTCCCTCTCCAGCTGACATCATGCTGCACCTTCCGTCAGATCCCAGTTCCCCAGATCCAGATCTACCCGAATCCCAACAGGCTGCAAAAGACAAAAGGACAGAATATAAGGATCAGTCTCTTATTTTATGCAGAGCTGAGGAATGTACTATTGAAGGACTGCAAGGTTCCTGGAGCGGAAGCTGCTTCCTCTTAAATCCCATCAGGTCTGCTGAAAAGGCAGCTCTATCAGACTGTGCCTCCTGCCCCTGAACCACTTCCATTCCATCTGTTCTTTTAGAACAGGCACCCAAATTTCCTTTTTTCCTCCTCCTCTCTCCTCCTTTCAGACTGTCTTTCGGACCATCATCTTCCATCTTATTTAACTACCTTATCTGTGGTGACGCACAGGTATGCCTTTATAAAGGCTAGATTCAATGTTTTCCCATCAAACGTGTTGGGTAACAGACTCTCCAACGGACAGATCTCACTCCTCTGTGACTGTAAAAGTGGAGCTATAGAATCGTTATATCATATAATCTTCTGTTGTCCATTACATTCAGCTTCACGGTCCAAGTTTCTGGCCCCATATTTATCGAGAATTGCTGACGGACCTCAGGAAGCCCAAATAATATACTTATTAAACGACGAAGATGCAAGTAGATCCCTTGCAGTCGCTAGATACTTGATTAATGTTTTATTTCAAAAGAGGAGAAATGGATCACTGTATGACTCTGACAGCTTAGCTAAACTTAAGAACCATCAATAAGTGCCAGAACTAAGACGCATACCCCCCAAAATCTGATGGATTTGAATTGCGGTTTACATAGAGGGAGCTTATTGTGTATAGTGTTTACTTAACTGAAGTAAAATTGGTTTTATATGGGTGTTTTAACTTGGAACTGTTTAAATTGTATTGTTTATGGATAAATTTCGATGCATTGTTTTCGATATGGGCCAATGGCCGCAATAAATCAAAATCATACTGTAAAAAAAATAAATCAAAAATCATTTCGGACCCTCAGCCTGCAGGCAGGAATTGCCTTATTTTCAATTGTTTTTATGTAAGCCACTCTGGGAGCTTCTTTTTGGCTGAAAATCCAGGTACAGATGCTCTAGAACGCCCTTTAAAAGCCCAGACCACTCTCAAGAACAGTGCTAGGTCATCTACAATTGCAATTGTTAGATCATCTGAAATTGCCTACCCCATGATTCCACATTACCTTAATCTAGGGATACAGGGGCATGCATGTCCTCCCCAAGTTCTCACCTGCCGAGGACATTTTGTCAAGGACGCAATTCGGGAGGTGCCAGTTCCCCCGCAAGATTCCTTGCTGTCCTCCAACAGCACCCGGGTGCTGGGCACGAAACTCCACGAGCGACCCAGTGCTGGTTTGAGATGGCCATTGCCACTGTCTCTGGTCACGTGATTTGTCAGCTGAAAACAGAGTGGCAGGTTTCAGTCCTCTTTCATTTCCCTTTCGGAGTAATTAGCTGCACAAACCCTTTTTGGGTCTGCTGTACAAGCCCCCCCCCCCCCCATTCTAGAATGATGAAAAATTCCCAGTCAACCACAAACCTGAATTATTTGGGGGCATAACGGGGACCTGCCAAAGCTAGATGGCTTTCAGGCAGAATTTCTATGATCTCTGCTTCAGGTTCCCAACTGTGTCCCCAACTCCATACTTCTGTTAGAAGCTGGTGAATGCCCAATGTCAACTAAAGCGTGGTGGGCTGCCCTAAAACATTGGCTCAGGATTTCAGGGTTTGATCTAGGGAAGGGTTTGTACCAATACCTGACCAATGAGGAATTTGTCGGCAAATGGCAGAAAACCATGGCTAAAAAAGCCACCTCTATTGGTCTGTCACCCCCCCCCCAACTGTATTACCTGGGTTATGAAGGCGCCCTAAAGACGTTAAAGCAAAGATTATGGGATAATGCACACAGTGACTTGCGATCTCGATCACACACAATCTGTAGTCTGCTGGCAGTAGGAGTACAATATGGGCATGTCTTTAAGTTAACATCTTACATTAAAAACCTGACAGTACCAAATTATCGAAGGCTTTTCACCAAAGCCAGACTAAACGTCTTTCCTTCTGCAGTGTTGGATGGCAGGTTGAGAGGCGTTCCCTACCAGGACAGACTTTGCTCGTGTGCTCAAGACATCGATTCTATAAAACATATTTTGTTGCACTGTGCAAAATATGAGCAAGCCAGGGCTGAACTAATATTACCCTTGCTGGTACCTTTCCTGGGAAAATCAGAGGCTCACTATGTCAGGTTCCTATTGGAAGACTGGACAAATGCTAGAACATTAGCAGTGGCCAAGTTATTATCGGTGGTTGCAAGAACCAATGATCCTTATATTTTGAACGAAATGCTTGTTTAACCTGGAGGTAGGCTGTATGAATTATGTATTGCTTTGTAACGATTTGTTGGGTCTTTGGACCGTAATAAAGGTTGATGATGATTTGGGGGCAGGGCTTCCTGCTTGTGTCAGAATTTGAACCCCAGCCTTCCAGGTCCTAGTCTGACACTCTAACTATACGACCCTGGCTAGGGGGCACTGGAGATGAGTTTATGGGGAACCAAGGAGGCGGTGGCCCAGAAAGGTTAGGGAACCACTGATGTACACCCCCTTCTTCTCCTATGCAATCAGCAGGGGCAAAGTTTTTAAAAAGGGGGTGTCTAGTGGATG